TTTTGTAATTGTTCCCATTAACCAAATGCAAAGGATTCATGCTCAATCTCTACTACACTCTGTTTCACTTCTGCAGTGAATTAGAGGAGGAAAAGTTAGCACAGAACCACATAAAAAGCACCGAAACAAGCTGCACTTTACTGAGCATTTGTAGTTCTGCCACCAAAACAATTTTCCTTCTGCTTTACAGTTTTCTGGCCAGCTATGCTGACTATCATAGCCACCCTGTTTACCCGGAGTTGTCGTGCACAGAGGCTTTAACTGCGCCAGAGCTGTGCACAGAGGCAGAAGGACATGCCTGACCATGCTGCAGGACTGAGCAGGACAGGTTGGAGACAGGACAACCCTTACTTCAGCGATGACTGCTTAGAAAATGAACTTCAAAAACAAACTTAGAAAGTCAACCTAGAAACCCAACTTTCAGCATGAGTGGCGGGAAGGGAACCACCCCGCACCTCATATTTACTCAGGTTTTCCCCTGTTTTTGGGCACACGATCAGCTCAAGGACTGTCTTGCTTTAGACAACCGCCCAGTACAGCTGTACTGAAGGTGCTAAAGGTTTCCCAGTTCCCTGGCCCCTACAGCTCCCACCTACCTGAGATTTCCTCACCCCAGGGAGCCCAATGAGATGGAGTAGGTCCTGGCAAGTTGCTTTATGGTTCAGATGTCATGGGCCATTACATGCCAGATCAATCAGGTTATATTTTAATAAGCCCAGTGTGTCTACAACGCCCCAGGGTGCCCTGCCTGTGGACCCACAGGGAAGTGTGCACCTCTCAAGCACCCTCCCACCTCGCAGGATGGAGACCTGGCTGTCCACCTCCACCAACAGCCTGTCCTCCCACTCGTGTGGGGCTCCGCTCCCTGACCTGGCCCCTTATGCACAGCAATACAAGAAAGCAGCAGCACAAAGGACAGATCGGCTCCTGGGATGATGCCACCCACCCCCACCAGCCCCTCCAGTCCGCCCCCGGGGGGGGCCCCACCCACCCCCCCCAGCCTCTCCAGAGGAATGAGGAGACACCAGCTGCTGCTTCATCAACCTGCTCCATCCCAGGAAGGGCCGCAGAATGTGTTTCCCTCTGGGCTAATTATTGCTAATTGTGCCACTTTGCAATCTCGCCAGCCTCACCCTGCATAGGGCAGATAGGGATATCAGTGAGATAAGGAGCATGCAGATAGCACAGGTAACTGGTAAATGCTGTCAAACCTGTGGTGGGGTGAACTGCTTTCTGGAGGGGGCTTATCTCTTGCAGCTGACTATGAAGAGTGCCTGAGGCACCAGTCTCTGAAGGAGGATACTGTCGTACTAAGGCTAGGTGGAGTGGAGCTGGGCATGCTCCTCCGAGCCCTTTAAAAGGTACTAGAAGGGATTTTCGTAACTCAGTATTTGCAAGCAATAAAAAAACAAGTTGACATTCATTTCAGAGTAATTCTTTGAAATTTACTTAACATGCAGTTTATTCTTTTGCGTCGTTTTTTGTTGTTGTTACTTCAGCACTATGAAAGATTTCATCATTTCTTTCTTCCTCCCCTCAGAGAGAAATAAATTCCATTTTTTTCATCGGATCCTGTTATCTCTCCGATCTTTCGCCCCTACATTGGTCTGAGCAGTAGGTAGAGATTATCACAACCTGTTTATAAAAGAGGAAACTTGGGCCAAGAGTCATTGTCATTCTGCAATATTTTCAGAAAATGAGTCTTATTTGAATACTGGATTTCACACCCAACTCAGAGAAGTCTTATACAGGAAGTACATTGTCTCCTACAGTCTCGTACAACTTCTGTCTTCATGTATACGATAGCGCACCACACCGAAAGTGGAACAGGTTGGTATGCAATGCCATGCCATGCCACGCCATGCCACATCAGTGCTGAATACCTACATGTTGTCTTTCACTCAGGCGTATCAGTGCCTGTTGGAAGAGGCACTGATGTAAGAGGCACCGCTATCTCATTAAACAGATAACTCAACCGAGGCAAATGTATTTCACACCTTGTGCTTCATGGCTATCGAAGTCAATGGCAGAGCAACTCATACACCCGAGAAATTGCTTTGGTCCTCTAATTTCAGTCTTGGAATATTTTCCATGTCAAGTATCTCCACATATAAGAGCAAAGTAGGAGACTTAGAGAGACGGACAGATAGATAGAACACGTCTTCCTCAAGGTACCTTGATCATCTGCTTTCCTTTTACCCTGCAGAGTCCGGTCCGCTTTCAATTTGGTTTCAGTTACCAAAGTTTCTCAGCCTGTTACAGTAAAGTTCATAACAAAGTCTGTGGCCAGCTCTTTCTTTGATAATTCCTCTTCCCCCATTTGTTTATCTCAAGCACTGAGCTTTGTTCCAGGCCCAAAACCAAAAGCCTTTCTACCCTGTTCTCTTCTTGACTTGTTGCAGATGTAACGAAATAAATCTTTAGAAAGAACAAACCTTCACTTCCTCTCTCCCGTCTGATTCAGTCACAAATCCCAGGAAAGAAAAATAAATCACAATGTGAGCTCACCCAGTCCTGGAGGATACCACATCTACTTCTGAAGGCCACCGTTCAAATTGGATGTGTCCATCCCTCAGAGAGGTCAGCTAACACAGCAACTTAATCAACAGCATCAGCCCAGGGTATCGCATGAAACGAGCCACACAAAACAAAGCCACGTGCATTTCTGTGAGCCAGAAGCTCATCTTCTCAACCCTTCCGAATACTCCACACGTTTTTTTTCCCCTGTATGGTCTCAACATGAGACAAAGTTCAGATAACCATGAAATCCCTGTTTGGAACACAGTCAAAGTCAAGGGTGGACAAAAAAAGCATTGTGATCTGGCTGAAGTGAGGCTGACATGATGGTCAGTGCCGGTTGTGAGCGCATGACCAAGTTGCTGGTGCTTTCTCAGAAGTTGTTTCTCAAGGATCAAAGGGGAATATGCAAAGCTGGGTTTTTCTTGCAGCCTGGCAAATTCTGTCCCTCTGGTCTCTTCCCTGCCACTGGAGTCACCTACCACCTTTTAAACTATCAGTCACCAGAAAGATCAGCTGTAGGGTCCATCCCTTTTTCTAAATTGCCCATAGGAAAACATTTGAAACGTTCTTCCAGATAGCGTGCCTGAGAGGATGTCTCCGTGGGAAAGCTGTGATGCTTTTCCATCAACCATTGAAGGAAGGCTCAAATTATCACTGAACGCCACCAAGTTACCATGGATCAACAAATTGTTGTTTTTAGCCAATCTGCCAGAGGTCCCATGTACATTCTCCTATTTTGTCCCAGCTGTGAGGTAAAAGTACCTCAGCTTAAACCCCTTTCCAGTGCCCACTTCACTTTGCACTCCCTTGGCTAGGAACTGACAGTTGGTCACTGTGTCCCAGCCATGGGGATTGCACCCTCCAAGCAAAGGGGCCACAATTTCTTACAACAGGATTACCGGCATTTGCCTGACTGTGTCTTCAGTTGACATGTGTCTAAGTTAAATCCAGACCAGGTTTTAAGCTGGGAAATATTAATACTGTCTAAAAGGGATCACTGGGGTCCACACCAGGCAGCACCTAGCCCATTGTTCCTTATTCCTTCAAGGATAGTCAGGGGAAGATGTGGAGAGCTAAGAATTGCGCTGAAGTCAGAAGACATTTGCGTCACTCTGGAGGGATGAACTAAGGCTTTCTTTTTTACAAGATGTCTTTGCACATTTGAAGCAATTCATACAGTTAGCATTGAAAAAAGTGTAATTAGACACTTTGAGAACTGGAAGAAATTAACTCCAACCACAGACTATTACTCAGACTATTATTTAATAATACTTCCCAAATGTGCAAAGTACTTAGTTTTAGAATAACAGGAAAGAAGTATAACTCTGTATTGAGAGCTAAGGCTTTGGCCCAGGAAACACACATGGAGAAGGCAAAAGCCAGGCTTCAGAGCTGGAAGACGAATGCCGCCTCTCTGCCACCTGATGGGTGCCCAGGTGTCCACCCAGGACAAGCCCTGCTTGGCTGCGGCTTGGGGCCGTGAACGTTCGATTTACGGCCCGAAGCTCTCCGACCCTTGAATGGCTGGAACGCAGTCAACGTGAGCAACAGGCCCGAGGTGCAAAGAGCTGGATGAGAGAAGATCTCCTTCAGTTTCCAACATGCCGAGGAAACCGCTAAGAAATTGCTGTTTTCCTTCTTCTACAGCACCAGGCAGAGCTGTTGACTCACCGCTAGCTACGGAGGCCTGGCTAGAAAGAGATTATTGTGATTTCTGTCTGTTTCTTTCCTTACTACAAAAGGCCCCATTCATCGGGGTTAATTTTGAAGGGAGAGCAAGGGGTATCAGTAGCATGAACTGTATCTGAATGTCTCGACCACATTTCAGCAAGCCAAGCTTGCTGGCCAGTTCAGCCCCCTGAAATAGATATCTTTCATTTTAATTTTTTAGTGGATGATTTCTCTGATTCTAAACAGAGGTATCTTTTCTGGTCATGGCAAGTTTAAAAAGTACTGACGAAGCAGGGAAGGCCATTTTCGTAGCAAAAACAAGAGGCCATTCAAGAAGCATGAAAAAAGTTGTTCTCGAGGCAGATACATACATTTCTTCTCCTGGAATCAACATACCTATATGCATCTACCTAAATGCACACACAGATATGAAATAAGGCTGTGTTCAGGACAGTGAACCTCTGCCTTATTTCAAAAGGCTGAAAAAATTTTTTTTTCTTTTTTTAAATACATACGTGATGCCTGATTTGCTTAACCACTAGTCTTTGTGGAGCACAACTGGGACTGTCTGTGTGTGGGAAGAGCTACAACATAATTGCTTTCAGCAGAATATCACTGTAGTCTATAATTAAAATATACGAGGTTGCCAGTTTCAAAATTTTTAAGTGATTTCATCTGTATTTGGGTGATTATGTCTGTCTGAGCTCCTCATTTAAAATGATACTTCTATTTTCAGTGCACAAAATGGTTCCTGGGTAAAAGAAAAAAAATATCCAATAACTTTGTCCTATCCTTCTTCCAATCTCCAGGAAAGCATCTAGGAAAGCATGAAAACGCAGTGCTCAGACTTCACAAGTGTGTCATAGCACTGGGGAAATCCTTGGTGAAAGCTGCCTGGGAACTGTCATTTCAGAGATGGCGTGGAAGGTGTCAAGAAAGAAAGAAAGCAAAGAAAAAGAAGACTAACAGAAAAATCTGTCACCTCCTAAATCAGAGTGACAACTTCAGCACAGTGTTTACTCATGGCAGTAAAAATAAATTGTCTGAGACTGATTGTACCCACATGCCACTCGCTACGCAACAGGGATGTCCCCCGGTATCGGAAACCAGATGTGAGGAAACACATGACAATGGCAATAGTCGTCAGCGTGGCAGCGGCAGTGACAGGGCTGCTTTCCTTCCAGTTGTAATAAGTGAAAACAGCGAGAGGGAAGAGCGATGTGTCACTGCTTCCCGCCACACCAATGCACTTGCGTGGAGAGGGAAGAGTGACTTTCAAGAGTCCCAGCAAGGCGCACGGGCGAATGAGCAAACGGGCAAACAAGCGATTTGAGTGTATCTTCAAGCCTTGATAAAATAAGCCTGCATATGCACAAAGTCTCCTCCTCACTTCCTCGGGGGAAAAATATCTGACAGTGGGGATCCACTCCTGAGCGTCCAGGCTGCGACCTGGGGGTCCGTGACCCCATCCTTGGTTTTCTTCTGAAGCCCTCACCATCTCCTCCAGCTCAGGCCAGACCTGCCAGAGCCTGAGGCAATAGCAGAGGAACCTCCGCTTCTTAAAGTACTACTCAGAAAAGCATCCCAGTTTGGCACTGGGACAAGACGAGAGCGCTCTTTTCTCATCTTGATCGTAGTGCCCCCAAAAACCTTTCTCTCATTTATGGTCTTTCCATAAGGTCTGGGTGCTCAAAGATGTTCCAAGACACTTGTGGAGCATCCTGAGTTGTACATGGGCTGGGCTAGTCCTCACAGGACACTTTCTGTCCCTGCAAGAACTGCTGTCCCTTGACAGGACTGAGCCCTCCACAGACTTTCCGTGCAGCAAGTTCGTCCTCTTTGGTCTTTGGAAAAGGTCTTGCAGTGGTGCAGCCCCTTGAGGAATGACTAATTTTGGTGGAATCAATCTACCTAGAAAGCTTTTAATTCTGAAGTAATTCTTTGCTCAGGGCTATTGTGGCATCAGTTACTTTGTGCCTTGCTGCAGTTTCACTGCAGGAGGGAGTGAACAAGCCCCATCCCTTGTTTAAACTTGCATAAGGTGACATAATGGCAGGGTGGAGGGGAACAAAAACCTCAGCACAGTAATGTACAGGACCGGGTATCATAGTCCCCAGCAGAAGGAGGGTCTCTTCGCTTGCCAGAGCTGGTCACTTCACCTGGTGGCACAGCCAGCATTGGTGCAGGCTGAGTCGGCAGGGGCTGGGGTTACTCTGTGGCCAGGGTGTAGCAGGGACAAAGAGACAGGGGAGTTCCCCAAGACTCCCACTGCCTGTTGTTCCCACAGCTGTCCATCTGCACAGCTGGAGACCTCCGGGGGTGAGTGACACCAGGGTTTGGCCATGAACGGTTTGGGGGAAGGGGAGGGAGCACAGGCAGAGCAATACAGACACAGACTTATCTCACCAGGGCTGTTAAAGAAAAGCAGGAGAGAAACCCTTTGAAGGACAGTTTGGAGCAAGAGAGAATGGTACAAATGTTCCGATTGCAACATGTGACAGATTTCAGGACATCTTGATGACACAGGTATATCCAGAGTAAATTCTCTGCATATTCCAGTTGCTCACTGGACATATGACTTGAATTCGTCTTGTGGCAACTTGCACAGAAAATTGAGTAGTTCTGCAAGGTGAGAGGAACAGCATCTGCAAGCTGGAGGTTTTCTTGCTCTCTGGGAAGGTGCATCGTCAGCTGGAGCTTTTCTTGTAGTCGGGATGTGTACGCACAGCCTCCGTGATGCAAATATCCTGGGGTCAGCACTGAGACGAATCTGACATAGTGGCCCAGATCTTCCAGATGTGTAAAATGTCATGACTTCATGCCTTTCAGCAGAGCATCAATCCAGCTAGAAATGTGCTCGATTATCTTTCTGAGTTGCCTGGCCCAGCTACACCTCAGCATACAAAGACTGTCAGGTAGCATCCTCTACCTCACTCAGAGGAGGGCTGCACAGTCACTAGCACCTAAAGGTATGTCTGGCATGCAGCGTTTTTAATCAAAACAAGCAATATGAAAAGGTAAAGATGATAGCATTGCTGTTATAATTGTAATGAGTCACAAATGCTGTTCTGATGGTTTTCTTTGAAAGAAGCACACAAAACCCAACTGATTTAGTTAAAGATCTCCCAGTCTTTGTAATCAGCATGGCCACAAATGAAGGCAAGCCTACTTTCATGTGACAGACTGCATAAGTAGTTTTCCCATTAAAATAATAAAAAAAAAGAAGTGAAAACAACATTTTAAAGAGTTTGTTTTTAACAACACGAGGACATGACATAAAGAACCTATACCCCTCATGTGAGAGAATGACTGTGATTAGCTTGGATAAAGCACAGACGGCTTGAGTTTTTTTATGGTTTGCGAATACGTGTGTTATGTTGCACATGTCTGCTCAACACTGCATATGATTCCAAGGAGTCCTCGTGCAAATTCATTTGGATACAGGAAAAGGAAGAACCTCGCAGGGATCAAGATTCTGACAGGTAGCTAGAAACATAGTTTCCTACACGGTCCTGCCCTCCATCATATAAAATGATCAGGGTAACAACCTGCATGGCAGTAGCCAGGAGCGGAGATAAGCGAGACGTAGGCGGGGCAGATGTGCAACTGCTCCAGTCTTTCATGTCGCTAGCACAGAGCCCTGAGATGCACTTTGAAGCTGGGTCACACTTGTGAACCTACAGAAGGATAGACATTTCAATCGACTGTAGAAAGGGATGAGGATGTTCCAGGAAGGATCCAGACTAGAAAAGTGATAACAAATCATCAGATCCACTGAGTAAGGCATAAATTAATCCCCAAGGCCATTCCCTTGTCAGACTCAAGACAACATCTACCCGCACAGGGTGGCTGTTGCATTTACCCAACTCAATTTCAGAAGCCCTTTCTGAGCATTTTCAGAACAACTACCCAAAGCCCAGGAAGCAGAGGCAGCCTTTGAGGCAGCTGAGATATTTAAATCAAAGAAGTAGGACGGGTCAATCAGCAAAGGGTTTTCTTTCTTGGCAAGCAAGCTTTGAGCATGGAGAAAGTGAGAACTTCAGAGCTAGATGCACACGGGGCTCTGACTACTTCCCACATGGGACTGATTTGCTAGGACGATCAGGAAACATTGTGAGGCTCAACCTGGTGGAAGTAGCTACTACTTCCTTTGTGTCATACCATCACAGAGACTGCGAGGTGCACAGTATCCCACATGCATCCAAAATTTGCTTCAGCATTTCAGGGAAATGGCAAGAGGGCAGATTAATCCCGTTTACTCTGAAGAAGCCCATGATTAATGCAACTTGGATAGTGTTGTAGAAAAGGGGGTGGCTTAAAAAGATGGAAGGAAGTCTGTGGCTGTCCTTAGTTGATACTATATATGGTATTTGGTCAGTTCTGCTTTAGAAGCTGGAGCCAGAATTGCATTTTTATTGTATTTCTTTTTAAAGCAGAAAAAGGTCAAATAACTTCACTGCACTCAAAGAGCCAGTGTTGATGGATGGTGCTGCAAATGACAACTGCTAAGTCATGAGCGCTGATAGCACTTGCTGGGGCAATCTTGGAGGCTACAGCCCCCACTTGCCCTCTGCCAGGCCAGTAAGGGCATCAGACCATGTGACCTGTCTGCTCCAAATCCATTGGGAGCCATCACTGATTTTGACTCGTGTGGAAAGACTCAGCTGGGAATTTTGTTGGTTTAGACTTATGGCCCTTTGCGATCAGAGTTGCAGTGTTTGAGAAGGGGAGAGCACCCGGTCCAGGGGAACATGGACTCGAAGCCTGACAGCTCTTTGCCTGCAGAATCAGTCAGCTCCAGCCCGGGATAGGACTTCTCTGCATCACTCTTTGCCTGTGTGTTCCCCCTCACCATTGCTGGAGGAATGGGACAACCCAGGAACCTGGGCAGTACTTGCAAAGCCCTTTGGCAGCTCAAGATCAAGCTGACCATGCGGGAAAAGAGGATCTGGGTTATTATCCTTAGAAAATCACAGCTGTTTGTTTCCAGGGTCTTTCTTCTGTTGTTATATACTCCTGTTGCTAGCAGTATTCTAACATGAGTAATATCAGGACGCTGGCAGTGCTAGGAGCTGTACAGGCAGAGATTGATGTTGTATCAGCTCACCAGAGAGGTTATTCATAGACCATGAGTAAGGCAAATGAGGGCAGATCAGCACAGACTGCCAGACAAGGAGCTTGTGGGACAACAGGGCTCAGTTAACCAGCAAGAAGTGAGGGATGCTGTGCCCACACTTGAGAAGTCACAGAAGATCATAGTTCCTTGCCTGTCCCATCCCACAGCCAAGAAAGTAATACACTTGCCTCTATCCTAGGCCCCCTGAAATCTCAGAGCACCTTTCAGCCTGCCTCCCAGATCAGATGCGTTAACGGGATGGGGCTTCCCCAGCAGGATTGAGGTCCAGCCTCTACCCCCGCTGTGAAATGACCACCCTGGCTTCTCAGGCTTGGCTGATCTGTGCACCCATCTTCTTGGGGCTCAGATCTTGGGGCTGATCTCTCCTCTCTGCGATGGCCTCCGCTTAGGCTCCAAAGCATCTGGGGTCCCTGCTTTCTGCTCTCTAACTGAACCAGCACTGATAACTAGTGCTGCTGCAAATAAAGGAACATCCCCCCCTTCCCTCCACTCCCCTTTTACATCTGCTCTACATTTGCATCTCAGAAATTAGAGAACTTAGTTATGCAGAATTACATAGCTAGGGCTGGAGTATGGAACTGATTGGGTATTCAAGCTAAATAAGACGAGTTTAAAGATCTTTCCAGGAAATTGAGTGGAACACCCAAACTGACATTTGGTATTAAATATTATATTTGTGCAGTTGCTCTTTATAGCCCGTTGGCATTGAACATCTGGGAGCACAATTCATAACATGCAGAAACTGAATACCTGCTTAAAATTGTGCTCATCAGAGCTCAAAAATTAAAATATTACTGTGTACCCTCTGAGCTAGTCCATTCCTAAAAGGTAGGGCTATTAAAATATGATTAGTTGAGCCATATCTGGTCTCAGAAATGTCATACACCATTACTACTGAAAAGACTTTGATGCCATACTATTGGCAGAGTCCACTGCCTGATCAGCAGCAAGATGCCAAAAATGAACTTTGCGAATACTTGCTCTAGCATCAGGAGGGATGTCAAAAAGAGAAGGGGAGTCTAGGAGCTTGGACTGTACAGACCGGGGTGGCTCACTCGCCCCTACCACAGCCCTGTCGCAATCTTGACTTTCGGTCCCCGACACACTCCCATTTCCAAGAGCCTCCATGTGCTTCATGGGTGGTCGGGATTGCATTCCCCCTCGACCCTCCGCCCCCCTTGCCAGAGAGCAAAATCCAAACAGCAGCCACAAAAAAACCTGTAGGGCTGGGCTCAGGTTGGGGTAACTATCATCTTTCACTTTTTGCAACACAATGATATATATGTGTGTGTGTGTGTATGTGTGTGTGTGTGTGTGTGTATGTGTATACACATATATATAAAAAGCCTTTGCAATATACATTTGTCTCTCCTAACGAGGCAGATTGACCTAATCAGGTCGGCATTGCACAGCGTTAATTACTGTAAACATTTTTGTGCTGAAATCTCTGCAAGGGCAGATTACCCCACCAGCAGGGCTGAGGCAAGGGGGTCTTCTCCCTGAGGGCCTCTGCTGATCCGCGGCTGCAGGTGAAATCCTCCAGGTCCGGGCTGACCTCAGACCAGGCGAAGCCTCCCCAGGGTTGGCCAAGGACCTTCAAGGCCATCGTCTGGCTCAGAATACCCGCGGCCAGGAGCCAGTCTGAGTCACGGAGCGGACGGTGCAACTACAAGAGCAACAAAATCCCTCCGAGCAAGCCCTTGTTCTCCGTAATTGAAGACATTTCCCATAGTTGGGTGGCTTTTTTTTTTTTTTTTTGTTAAAGCATGCACTAAAACAGACATCCAAGAAAGAGGTAGTTTTGGGAAAAAAAACGCTGAGACCCAGTTACGTGCTTTAAGGTCTCCGGGCTGAGGCTGGGCAAGGTCCCAGCCGTTGCGCCCTGGCCTCGCTGCTGTCCTCTCAGCTCATGCGACGCCGAAATCCCCGCAAAAGCGGAGGCAGCGCTGCGCTCCCCAGCCCGGCGGGAGCTGCCTCTCCCCAGCTTTGTCAGGGCTTATTACTCCATGTTTTCACACTTATCCCCAAGGTGTTGAACTCGCCCTGAAGGTTAATTAGTAATTTATTGCGCTGTCAGCAGTTCGAGGTTACTAATGGCTTCAATTTAGCCCCAGGGTTTTCAGAGGTTTTTTTTTTTTTTTTCCCTTTTTTCCTCCCTTCCTTTCCTCCTGCCTGCCTTGGAGAAGCTAGGATTTGCAGTGCATGGGAAAAAAGGCAGTTTTGCTAGGAAAAGCGCCTGGAAATAAGGTCCAAAAGGGCAGCAGGATTCCTCCACTTCCCAGCGGTGTGTGGGGACTGGCTGGGATTGCAGACGCCCTGTATCCCTGGCTCAGTTTGCAAGGAGACAATTCAAAGCGATTCACACAGAATAGCAAACCAGGGGATGTTCTGAGGCCCACCTGAGTACCCCAATGTCTGCAAAGCTCGGCTGGCTGCGCAAAGGCAGCTGCCGATGGCTGGGGTTTGGTGGCACTCAGGAACCGAGTGCTTTTGCCTTTCCCGTGATGCCTGTCCAGGCGTGCCTCAGTTTCCCCATATGGCTCAGTTTGGAGGGTTGCTACACTGGGGGAAAGGCTGGCTTTCTGCCCCGCAGCGTGCACGCCTCCGTGGACAGAAAAGATGGGCACCCTGGGAGCAGAAAAATCAAATTGCACTGTGAGAAGCCCAAGAAACCTAGGTCCAAAGTCCCCTGAACTCTGCCCCCACCAAACCCTCCATCCACCCAGGTGCGACTCAGACATGTCCCGCCAGCAGCATCTCCACCCGCCAGCCCCCGCCTGCTTCCCAGGGACTTTGGGCCCCTCTGCTGGCGGGGACGCCCGGGCTGAACTCACCGGCGCCGGGTCCCCCAGCTCCTTCCCTCCCTCACCCCGCTTCCCCGCCTCGTCTGCTGGAACACCTTTCGCAGAGCGCCCGCCGCAGCCTCCAGCCGGGTCAGGAAGGGACGGCACGGGGCGGAAACGGCCCGCGAGCTCTCCCCGAGCGGGGACAGGCTGTGCCGAGCGGCCGCGCGTGGGGAAAGGGGACCCGGCC